TGTGCTTCATAGAATTTTGAAAGAGGCTTGGTTTGTTAGATAATCATGGTGATCCCTTCATATGCATCTGTAACACCAGCAATAAGTTGTAAGATGAGTCGTTGATTAGTGATAGGGGCGTCAACATTGGAAAGTTGATTAGAGATCATCTTTAACGCATGACAGTAAGTAGAGCAATTTGAGAAATTTGCAAGCTTTGCGGTGACTAGTTTTGTGTTCCAAGTAGAGAGCACGCTCATTCTGGTTGTCTTGAAAAATACTCTTGAGGGCTGCTCATGTATGCACTGCACTAGATTTCAGTTTTAGAATAGTTTTGAGGAGTTCATTCGAGATAATATTATAGATCCATTGGATGACAATGGCATCTAATCGATTCCATAGATCAGGATCCATCGGTTTGGGATTTGTTGGTTTATCAGCACTAGTTTTATCAATAATGGAGGAGGAGATGATTGCAACTTTCGGTTCGATGTGTTCAATGAGCTGGAATGAACGATAATGGATTATACATAACTCATCCCATGAAGTATATTGAGTGCTTTCCGTCTCGAGAGTAATCGTAATAATTTTTTGGATATTAGTGATCATGAGAGTCGGGTGTAATTTTTCTGCCATAGGGAGAGAGAACGAAAGTAAGAGAAGGAGATAGAGATTATGAAGGAATGATGGCTGGTAGGGTTTGGTTTTCAGAGAGGGAGCTCTGATACCATAATATAATGCATAATATTTTCCCTTGACTTTATTGATCCAACCGTGAGGTATATATAGTGTACATGAGGTTTACCTGAAATATTTACACTTAGCTACCTACACTCTGTACAAATACAATATACATAATATACACGACTAATACCAATAACTAATTAACTATCACTTCTGGCCTAATTTGGTTGCTAAAGTTTATTCTCGTATTATGGATCCCCAAACTCTTAATTTACCTAGACTTTGTATCCAATTTCATCAGGTTTAGGAGGAAGAAAATGTACATGTGGCACCATATTGACCACATTATTTCCAACATGGTACCTAATTTATAACTTAATTACTAGGCTTCCCCACCCCAATACTTTTATATTCATTGTTGATGTGTGTATTTTTATACATATATATATATATATATATCATATTTTCATATTTTAGCCTTTAATATTCTTATTTGGAACTAAAAGGTACTTATAATGCTTTGAATTATAATTTATAGCTATTAGTTGTCGATAGAGTGGAAGAGGAAGGATTGGAACAGAATTTGGGGCTTAGAAGCAAAAAAAAAATTGCTGAAGGCAACCAGTACGCCTAATATAGTGTGAAGTACGCTAAGTGTACTGCTGAGATGATAACTATGTCCCCAACGTAGATACAAGTACACCCAGTGTACTAGTCTTGGGTCCGAAGAATGGATCGGGATGGCTTTCTTAGTACGCACCGCATACACCAACTTACACCCAGCGTACGTAAGTCGGTTCCAAAAGTTGTAAATAGTGAATTCCGGACAACCAGAAGGGGGATTTTGACTACCATTGATCCTTAGTCGACAAGTAACACAGATTTGGCCGTTTTGAGGGTCTAGAAGGCGGTCGGAAGGCTATTCAGCTAACAGGAGGATCTGAAGGATTAGAGAGCGGATTCGTGACGGTAATCATGTGGTTTGTTATCATGACCATGTTTAGCATTCCATTGTGATACTATTATGTTTTTACTTTCTGATTTTGGTATTGAAACCTTTTGATTTGTGTTTATGATTAGATGAAACCTTGATTTATGGATTAATTGCTATATTGGATTGTTTTATTTATGTTTAATTTATCTTATCAAGCTTGTTAAAGGATCCTTACATGTTAATAACAATTATTTTATGTTAATTATTCAGTATATTGAGTTGTATGAACATCTGCTTGATTGCTTGCCTCTTATGATTTTGATGACCATCAAGATTATATGCCTAGGAATAGTGAACATGAAACTAGGGTTAATTAGGAAATAAATAAATTAATGTGTGAGCATGTGTGATGACCAACCACATATGAGTTAATTGAACTAACCAATTTGATTAACTATTATTACGTGAACATTAGGAAACATGTTAGTTTAATCAATTGATCACTGCTTGAATTGACTTGTTTGCTAAAGGACTAGTAATAATGAACATGAACCTAATCATTTTAGAAATCGGTGAACATGAATAAATAAATATGTGTGTGTAATTGTCTATGATTTTAAGATGTAATTTGTCTAAAGCAAAGTACCTAAAGAGATTTGTCTTCCTGCCAGTTTATCGAGATTTGCTATTTAGTTATTTGTTTGAGATTTAATAAAACATTTCTTTATTCCTTTCGTGTGTTTTGTAACCTATAATCAAATATTTTAAATTAATTCACTATCGTTCTCCTTGTGTTCGACACCCTTGCTTATAAAAGCTATACTCTACTCGATTGGGTTCACTACCTGTAAGGTGTGGTTTAGATGCGACAAATTAGGAATTATAAATAAAAAAACTAGTGCATTAAAAATACACATCAATTGTGCCACTCAAGATTAGAAAAAAAACGTTCAAAACCCCTAAATCAGACCTCCCTCAATGGCGTCTTCTTTGAGCACCAACAATAAGATAATGAGCATTAACAACTCTGATGCAGATGAAAGACCATTGTGTGACTGCATGTTACCTTCGATGGAACGTAAGTCATGGTCCATCGAGAATTCAACGCCAAGGTTCTAAATTTGCACTAGTTCACTTGTAAGTATATCTTTGATTTGTGTAAGGTGTCCAACTTAGCTTAAACATGTTATATACGGTGTCTTAAGGGCACATTGAACATATGTTTTTCATAAAAACCTAACTGAAGTTTGTTTAATGTTATTAGAAGCAAACACATAACTATAACTTCTTCAAGTAGTGTAACCCTCCCATTGGACATGATCACTATCGTTTAACTATCTTGGGTCTGAAATAGATGGAAGATAATACTTACGCTGAGAAGCTTCAAAAGAAGGTTACACGATTGGAATAACTACAAAAGAAGTTGGTTGAAAAAAAACTTGGAAAGGAAGATTACCCGGTTAACAATTGAGTTACAAATTACGAGTAACGAAGTCCAAGTTGAAAGCATCAAAAAGGATGATCATTTGCTTTGATGTGTTGTTCTTTTCTGTAGTGGTGAAAGGTTTTAAAGGATCTTGGGATTAGTGTTCTTTACGCCTAGTTCCCAAGTTTAGCAAAGAAAAGAAAAGAAAGTAATGAGAGAAAATAAGAGAAGGGAAAGTGCAAGAAAACTGTATTTGGTATTCCCGAGTTGGCAAGAAATGAAATGAAAATTAAACACTTTGTTCTTTTCTCTCCAAATCCCTCCGGATTGGAAGGAAAGTTAGGAGGAAAAGTTTTCCTTCTATTTCTTTCCACTTCTCTCCTTTAATGATACTCGGGAACACCAATTTCCTTTACGTTCTTCTCATTTTCATCCAGTGCTTTGCTTTTGTGTGTTGTGTAGTTTTGTAGATAATAAGCATGGAGGATTTGATTATTTGAATCCCTGCCCACATTACAAAGCAACTCTCTAGTACAAATAACTTTTAAGAAGCAACCATCAAGCCCAATCTGCCCCTGTTTAACTCCATCGTAAGACCATAATTTAGTTTAGTGTTATACAAGAGTATATCCAGTTTCACAATTAGGCCTATCTCACAATTGGGCCTATGTGTAACATATGCAGGGGTTGGTAGTCATTATATAAAGAAAATAATGCATAATGAAATAAATGTGCATCATGCAACTTAGATAAGAGGTTATAAAAACATTTGGCGTCGGTCTTGGGTAGTGTAGGAGATCGAGAAGACATGCTTTGACACTTACAGAGATACTTGTATAGCACTAAACTAAATTATGGTTATAGAACTTCATAGCACTGTTTTGTTCGCTTTTCAATGATTTAAAGTGAAAAGAGTGTTAATCCCCTGTCCATGAACCCCGAAGCCTAAAACTACATTTGCCTCCATAACACATCACTAATAGTTTTATATTATCATGTTTCTATAACAAAGTTGGTATCCATTGGCTACAACATACTTACATAACATGTGTTTAAGCTGTTTAGGGATCTCAAATATCAAACCTAAAATTGGTTTATGCTTCTTCCAAGGTAAATTATCTTTGAAGATGACATGAACTTCAACTACACGATCAATCTCATCAGATTTATGGTTTTATTCATCCTTCGTCTACTTTAGTTTTTGAATAGGATCTAACTTACTAAAGAATTTGTCAACCCTTGTCTTGTTCAAACAATTGATTTCATTCTCATATTCAAGATCAACTGCCAAGATTTTTGAATAGGATCTAACTTACTCAAGAATTTGTCAATCTTGTCTTGTTCACACAATTGATTTCATCCTCATATTCAAGATCAACTGCCAAGTTATCTGACACACAATGATGATTCTCTTCCCTCTCAATACATGATTACTTACCACTTAATCTTTGTCCTCTTCAAACCATTCCTCTAAAGCATCACCATGGTAGTTAACATAAATGATATTTTAACATCATTAAGGTATGCAGTCTCTATAAAAGCGGCCCGATCTTTAATTTTTCATTTTCAATGCATTAAATATCAGAGTATAGAGGTTGACGAGTACATTAGTAAAGTTTTTCCCATGGCTCTTGCATGAATTGTTCTAGAAGAGTAACGCATTCAATAAAATTCATCCGAACAAAGCCATAATCAATTAACTTATTTGATAAGCATCCAAATAACTCTTGCATTTGTTTTGTTTTAGGTTGCATCGAAACAACAAGAAACAAGGATCGAAGCCAATATCACCATATTATATATTGATAAAGACCTTTATATCAACCAACATCACCAATAATTAATTCAAGTAGTTAAAAAACGTTGGAGAATTCATACTAAACATAAACGATTAATTTATTTGGTACAATTCTGAATTCTGATATCAATTGTGCACAAAATAACTTTTAATCAAACATTAGAGAACAGCGATACGAATCAAGCTGCAAATTTCGGAGCTTCCCTGTTCTGAAGAATCTTCTTCTCCAGTTCATCCTTCTTGGCACCAATAACCCTTCCCACCTCTTTTCCTTGTTTTAGCAATACAATTGTTGGCATTGCCTGCACCCCAAATAGCTGTGCCACATCCTACAATCATCCATCCGTTTTTTTTTTTTTTTTTTTTTTAAATGCCCAATCTATCTTCATCATTACAATAACGATTTATGTACCCTTGTCTCAATTTGATACAAATTCATCATCGATTTATGTAACCAATTACAGAAAGTGGTAGCAAATTGAAAACACGTAAAAAGTTAACCCTAATATCACTTTGGGAACTCAAGTTCGGGATTCATAGAATTGGAATTGAAGCAAAATCGGTTGATCGACTTCAGATTCTAACTCCACGACTTAAATTCATACGGATCAATTAGGGTTTTTCGCTGACTCGTTGAAATTAAGGTTTAAACCTAAACCTTATTTGTTAGATTAGTTCATTGGAATGGAATTATGAATCGAAATGTTGGATTGACCTAATCGGTTCACCAAACAGTTCCAGATGACTATGATATGATATTAATTAAAAATACCTGTAATTCATCGACATCGATCTTGATGAAGTCGATTTCCTGATATTTGGAAGCGAGAGAACGGATAAAGGGCTCCAACATCTTGCAGGGTCCACACCATGACGCCGAGAAATCTACGACCATCAGTTTGGGGGATTGTTTTGACTGATTGTAATGGAGCTGCCAGCGGTTAGAAGAATGAAATTCGATAACTCGTGATTCCTCCGATGATGTATCGCCGTCGTTGGGGGTCTGTTCTCCTCCTCCCAACAACGCTGACGCCACCGATCCCATGATCTTTTTTTGTTTTTACACACAATACACACACCGTCGAAGCCGAGAGGAAGTATGGACTACGCGGACTTTAACTCATCCAGGCTCCAGCTAGCTTAATATAAAGCTTGGAGTAAATTATAATCCCACAAATCTTCAAAAATGGTCCCTTGGGTTCTTAGGAATATAAGTTTAGTTTTTAAAATTTTCAGTTTGATGAAAAATATTTGTGGTTTTAATTTTTATCATGGTTGTCACTCATCCATAAGTGGTTTCTAGATAGTTCCCACGATGTGACAACCTGCTTACCATGTCGTGGTGAGTGGATTCTTCCCGACTATTTTGTTGAGGAATTGTCACGTCATGGAAGGTATATGACCACTACATGGTGATCAGTTGTGTTGACTTTTTGATCGGTTGGACTTTTGGTCAAACTATGATAGAATTTAGTGTTTAGCTGAGGTCTAGTTTCGGTTTGGTTTAGGTAGCTTATATTAGGTTTTTTGTTGTTGAACCTATGTTGGTTAGTTCATGTCAGTTTTCTCACTATAATTTGTATTGTAGTATGTTGTATTCTTGTATGTAGGATGTTGGTATATTGTAGTAATATGTTGGATCTGTAGATCTGTTATGATTACATGTGCTTTGTTGGTTATTGTTTATTTGTTTTCATATGTCGACATATTGTGGTTGGTTGGTTTGAGGCGGTCGTACTTTGTATTGTAGACCAAAATACCTGGACGGTCTAGGTATATTGTAGGCATTGCGAGACGGTCCAGTCGTACTGTAGGCCCAAGGTAGCGATGCAGCTACTGTAGACCTTGCGATGTGGCCAAGTCGACTGTAGGCTCGGTGGAGTGGTCCATGTATCTTGTAGGCCTTGAGAGGCGGTCCAGACAGACTGAAGGCTAATGTGTGTATGCATTGTATATGTATTGTTGTGTGAGATATTTTCGGGGGGGGGGGGGGGGGGGGTCACTAAACTTTGGTTTACAACTGTGGATTAAATATTATTTAGGTATTTATCGGATGGTGAAGGCGGGAACTGTGCACAAGCACATCATCAATTTTATAATTCGAGATTCCGTTTTGTTTTCCCTTATAACTTTGAATTTGAAATATGGTATTTGAACATATGGTTTTTAACTCGGATGTACTTACAAAAAAATGGTTGTTTATTCTATTTGAAAATTTAAAAATTTATTCTGAAAATTTGGGGTGTTACAGAATTTGTTGTCGTCGCCAAGAAGCAACTACAATAATCCATTCAAAGTCGCATGAGGAACACGATTGCAGAGTTCAAACTTGTGGATGAAATTGTGTATGAACTATACACACCAACAACAAGAACCAAAGAAGAAATCAAAACCTATTATGTAACACACACTTCTTGTTAGACATTCTGCAGATAGCCTCGTTTACGTTGTCATTAATTGTAATATAAATAAATAAATAAATGAGAAGTTTTCTTATGTGTTATGTGTTTACAAAGTTTCTTTGTATATAATATGTTATTTATGTTATACACATAAATATTATAATGAAATAACATTTGTACTAAAATACGGTTAAAAACGAAACGAAAAGCTAAAAATAACAATTTAAAATAAAAATAGGATAATAATCGAAACATAATTTTTGGTACACTTCAATAGTTACGCGTCGATATAACTAACACATAAATCCGACTTCGTATTAGGAAGTCATGGTTTTTCAAAGTTTCGAATGTGATACATAAATCGAAATAAATAATCGGTTGATTGTTAGCCGAAACAATATAGTTGAAAGTTGTAGTAATCTTTAATAGGAGATCAATGATATAATGAATGTCGAAAACAGAGCCCTATGAAAAAGTTATGAATTTCACAACGTTATTTATAGTGCAAGCCCTCTCGAACCGAATCACGAAACATAAAGTGAAATTAACCGGCGAAATCTAAATGAAAGTTGTAATAGTCATCGACAGCTATGCATGGATATAGAAATTATCGTAAACAGAGCCCTATGTTATGAATTTTAGGAATTAATTAAATTTTAACCAACGCAAGATCGACATGTGGCACCACCAGGAGTGCGACATGTACCCTTCCTCCCTACGACAAGCCCTAGAATTGTGACACGTGGCAGGGTACAGCGTGTCCCCTGAAAATTCCTATAAATAGCCTTGATTTCTCACTATTTTGGTTGCTAATTCACTTCTAATTTCTTCCAACCTCTCCCGAATCCTCGAGTCTTGGTTCTAGTACTTCTTAAGCGTCAGTAGCAAAACTCTAGAGTATTAGAGAGCCTGGAGAAATAGAGCTTTTGATTTCGAAGTTCTGCCCACACAGAGTCTGATTTTCCGCTAAACAAGTTGTAAGTTGAGTTATGATTACTGTGCCTAAAGTATATCTTATATTTATGTTTTGTATAATCATTATTTATAACTTTTAAATAAGATTTATCAATAATACCAGTCGTTATATTGATCGATCTACTTACATAAATGATGACAATGTAAGAACAGTGAGGTGTTTAAATTTGATTTTCCAGCATAAAAACTAGGTGTAATCCTTTACTATCATCTTATCCATTATAATGACTAGGCATAATATCATTCTTAAAGTTTAGGCAGGGTAACTACCATGCATAATATTCCTAACGATGCATGAAGTTAAAAACTATTGTTATATTACAAGAAATAATCTTTTCGAAAAATCATTGAAATAGTTTTATAACAAATACCCCCCCCCCCCCCATAAAACATTTGAAAATGGTAAAAGTGGGGATATGAAACTCACCTTAACAACGTGATTTGAAAGACTCGGGTTATCGTATCGGGAACTCCTAGCCATCTTGGGAGGAGGAGAGGATTCCGGATCGATTCAGATAGAAAAGGGAAATAGTTTAAGGTGTGAAGGTTTGGAGAAGTGAATGACTTTATTTATAGGGTCAATTTTGGCATGCCCGTGAAGCAAATATTTATGTGTGTCGTGCATGGGCTTCGTGGTTCCATTCAAAACTTGCCATGTGTCACTTCCTGGTGGTCCACGTCTCTTATATCTTGACGATTCTGGTTGTCAGACATGCACGTCATGTGTGGCGTGCATTACGCACGCACGATTAATATTTTGAAAAAAAATCATATCTTTCTTATATAAATCTTGTTTCTAACATTCTTTATATATTTGTGTAGTTATTGGTGAGAACTACAATTTTCCTTTATGTTGTTTTGGCTAATTCCAACTTCCATTTTAACCGTATTTTATGTTTTTTCTAAAAATCATATCTTCTTCATACGTATTCCATTTTTGGTTTTCATTGCCTCAAAGTTCTTATTTTGAGGATTACTATGACTTTCCTTTTAATGGCTTTAGCCAAAACTCAACCAATCTTTTAGTACTATTTTGACGTTGTAAAATTTATTTACGCGACTGATATTACTTTTATAAAAATCATAACTCCTTCAATCGAAGCAGATTCTTACGAAGTTTACATCCTTGAAATCGCCTTGCAATGTAACATTATCAATTCTCATCGTTAAAACAAAATTCAGTTAGTTCTTATTAGGGCTAATTGTAACATTATTTCGGATGGAAATTATTGATCTCCGTTGTTATTTTAAATCAAAATAGTTTATCTCAAATAACTTAATAACTACATGTCATCTATCCTAATAAACACTTATATGTATCTATTTATGGTACAAGATAATTTATAATAATAAATTAACAAATAACAATCATTATTTGGAAGGGTAAATGATAATTAAAAATAAAAATGGTTAAATTGAGTGTTCCCTGCATTGTATTCATAATAAACATGCCATGACATCTTCGAAAATGAGACTTCTACCACTTGAAATGAAAGTATGTTATTTTTCATTGCAGAATAACAATTTCTATATCTATTTGTGTCAAACATATGAAAATACATACAAAAAAAAGACACCAATATATTAAAACACATATCCTACATACATAATATTTTCCTTCATCTTTTCATCTTGAATCAATAACCTTAATAAACACTAAAAAAATGCAAACCAACCGATAACAATGTGTATGTCACATAATCTTTTGGAATGTGACATGTTTTCCAAAAGAAAATGGTACCATACAACATGAAAATATGACTAGAAAATATTTATTTTTGGCTCAATGCATCAAACAGATGAAAAAATCAATCCAACAAACACAAAATAAGTCACAGATGAAAACAAAATTCTTATTCAATTTCTCCATCTTCGAATGGCTGATGAATTGTATGATCTTCAAAAAATTTCTGAAAGGAAATATTCGTCTCCGCTGCTTTGCGTGGGTACACAACTAGTATATATATATATATATATATATATATATATATATATATATATATATGTTTTTGTGTGTGTATGTGTGTATATATCATACAATCCAAAATAAAAATATAACAAACATAATGTGTATCAAAAGATGTCAAATCCATAGACCAATTATCATAATACAACAAACCCTCTTCGTCACCCCCACCATCACCATTGACATCATCACTCGTCTACTCGTCGTCCTCCTCCTCATCGTCACTGCTATATCACCAGTATCACCCTACGGTGTGCTTGAAGGACCAACTTCGTGGTCTAATTATGGAAAAGGTAGATAATTAATCCCAAAATGATCCATCACCCATGTAAGATATGTCATGATCACTAATGCCCCTACCGTGGAGCATCCATGCGACTAGAAAAGTGGTGGAAGTCGACCCCAGGCTCAGGCTCTTTTCAAACAACCTCTGGTTCGTGCCATGTCTGTGTCACCTCATGAATAGAGGCTAAGGAACAGGCTTCGACTCCACTTGTCTCAAAGGTGGAATTATGTCATCATCATGGATCCTCAACACCTGATCAGACCTAAGTACCACAACCCGTATCTTCCTCATATTATTCGCACCTAACTTCCTGATAGGACACGAAACCATCACGATGGTTTCAATCCCATAGGAACGAGCCAAACGAGTAACTCAATGACCTCCATAGATCTGGTTGTTCTCCATAGAGCCTACAACCAAGGAAGATAAGTACAAAGAAAAGGAATAAGGGAGGTTGAGGAAAACCTCCGTATAGATCAGACACCACACGTAAAATAGGTCACCCGAAGGAACCTTGCCACACTCCCTGTATAATGGAAGCAATTGGCTGATGGATCAACCTGAAGATAGGAGATCTAAAAGAACTCTCTTTAGCCACCTTATAGACATAGATGCCCCTAGCATGAGCCCATACCTACATTTGGTCATACTCCTGAGGTGGAGAAAGGATGCAACTGTTTAGATAGGAAATATAAGGAGGCCTAGTGACCTCCTCCTCAGTATAAATCCCTAGTCACCATCCAAATTCTACAATAGTATAAGAGTGGGATACCCCTCCCAAATGAAATGTAAGAGGAACCGATCTGTCCTGGCTGTCAGTTGCCTGGCAAAGCGAACAGTAGCAAAGAACTCCTAGCAAAGCTCGTAATAGATGACCTCCTGAGTACTGAAGATCTGATGCCACCCCTGGAGGGTGAAAAGCCCAAGATCATTATCATGACTAAGGACCTGAGTGAGATATGGCTCCAAACGCGCCGACAATACAAGATAATCAGCGGCCCGCCATATAAGGGCCTGGGGAATACTGAACTGCTTGGATAACATAACAGTCAACTGAGTAACGAAGAAGCTCCAGTACTCATAAGGAATATCATCTAGGAATTGTAGAAATATATGAAATGGTCAGTTAGTCGGTAACTAACCAGCCCTCTGGTGACCAGATCAAAGCATAACCTAAGAAAAATAGGGCAAGATAGTTAGAATCAAAGTAAGGTGGGTAAAAGGATTATAAAATAACAAAAAATATAGTTCGTGCGCGTCAAGAACTATGTTATGCGTATGATAAAGATGTGGCGCGTGCAATGAAGATTCCCGACGTGCTTCATGAACACAAAGAACAATCAGTTCTAAAAGCCTCGAAATTGTCCAAATTTCAACCAAGAATCTATAGGGGAATGTTAGGTGAACCTTATATTGGTAAAGGACATCATCAACTTAGTAAAAAACATCACGAATCAATGGAATTAGCAAAGCGCTAGATTTTACCCCAAAACCGAAAACCCCAAAATATAGTTCGCACACGTCAAGAACTACGTCACGCGTATGATAAATATGCGGCGCGTGCAATGAAGATTCCCGACGCGCTTCATGAATACGAAGAATAACCAATTCTAAAAGCCTCGAAATCATCCAAATTTCAACCAAGAATCTATAGGGTAATGTTAGGTGAAGCTCATATTGGTAAAGTACATCGTCAACTTAGGAAAAAACATCACGAATCGATGGACTTAGTAAAGTAAGTAATATATGGTGGTCTATTTATTGTAGCATGCGCACATATCCACACTAACACACAGCCATACACACATATAGTTATAACATTGTACTTTCAAAATACAATCCTTAAATAAGAAAAAAAATTGATAGAAATAAATGTAAGAGGCTATATTATATAAAAATGTTACACTTTTTTAACCGTTTAATAAACAAATTTTATGGTTATTCGGTTATAAAAAGAGGAAAATGTAGAAAAAGCACAATATATATTATCCATTACCGGTCTAGAAACTTAACTATCTTCCTATGAATACAATATTATGCTTTTTTTCACATCAATTTTTTTATCAAATTATTGGATTTGAAAAAAGTGGAAAATACATAAAAGCATAAAGCTGTTTTATCCTTTCATTGTAAGAAATAGAAAATATTACTTCGTGTTGTCCTTTTAAGTTACAGAAACAGAAGATCCAATAATCATTAAGAACATTCATACCTCTTGATATTGAATGATGTTAGGTGTAGTTTTTTTGTTATCGGTTGCTCCTAACCTGTTATCACAAAAACTGTGCTATAAGAATATTCATGCATATTTTTCACAAAAATAGAAAATATTAGTTGGTTGCTCCTACGAGCTGCAGTAACCCATCTTGTATCCATGGCCTGAATAGTAAATCAAGAAAAGCAATATGTGATTGGTTTTTCCAATTGAATGAATTTATATCCTAAGAAAAGCAAGTATATATATATATATATATATATATATATATATATATATATATATATATCTCAATCTAGTAGCTTGTATAATGGCCTGTAGAGTAAATCAAGAAATTAGAAATGAAAAGGCAAAAGAAAAAAAACTCAATCCATTAACATTGAGTATACAACACTCATTATTAATTGAAATTAATGAAAAAATAACCCGTACAAAAGTGGTAACATTAAGTATATATGTGTAGTATTCAAATACCACACATAAAAATAAAAACTATTTTCTTACCTCTCCAGAATAAGGGTGTTCATAACACATCCCAAAAAACAGTCGTGTGTATCACCTATATCCACCTCAAATGACAATAACATTTTTCTTAAAAATGAAAAGTGAAAAAAAAAATGAATTTTTCTTACAAATGACAATCAAATTTTGCAGAACCTGTGATGTGAACCTGTGAAATCATAAAAAACACAACTGAACTTGTGAAATCAGAATCTACAGTGAACAAAATGTTTAAAAATTATACCTTTAATCAAACTAAAAAACGTGGGGTTGCTCTCGAAAAATTGCCATGGAAATCTACAGCCGAGTCTTCGCCAACATAAGGCTCCACTGGTCACGTATTTTTTGTTTTATGTTAAGTATCATCAATCTAAAAGAGTAAGCCTCTTTTGATCACATTTTTGTTGTCTAATATATCTTTCAAATCAAAACCCAAAGTTAGAAAAACACATTACATATATAACTAAAAAATAGTTTCAAAGAAACAATCATATTTATTTACACCCAGCCTTAACTTTTAGGGAAAAATAAGGTTAAGGAATGTATTTTCTGTTTAGTGAAGAGTGTAGCAGGCGGAATGACGCTTAGCCTTATGTTGCTGATGGAGATGGTAGCAACAACAATTGCGGTGTCGGTGAAGATGAGTGGTGGCAGCGTTCGAGAATGTGTCAGTGTAGAGAAAGAGATGCGGATATTGATCATGGTGAGGCTTCATTGCAATAAAAGCGATACCAGGGAAAAGAGTTGGAGACAGGAGACGATAGTCAAATGCGATAGATGGTGCAAGGTTGAAGAATAGTTGGTGGTTCATTGCAGGTGCGGTAGAAAGGAGGAGCACCAAGATAAGCTTACAGTTTGCTTGGGCGAATGAGGGTGGTGACTTAGGCAGTACAAGTACAGTGACGATGACTCTTTGATTAGGGTTTTTGAGTATTTGATTGATAGAAAATGTGAGGTTAGAGAGAAACATGAGAACTGAAATTAGCGTTTAGAATTCTGATTTAATTCTTTGAACTCTGAAACGGATACGTTGTAATAATTGGATGGTAAGCATAACATCATTGTATATCATGTAGCAAGTGTTGTACCTCTTAAAATTCAAGAAATGTGTAATATGCTTTATATAATAGTAAAGATATATATATATATATATGTGTGTGTGTGTGTGTGTGTGTATGTGTGTTTGTCTTAGTTTATAAATTACCGAATCTAAATTCAGTTGGTGCATTGGTCCAGCCAAAATTAAACATAGGTGATCATTCTATGTTTAGTTGTGGTTTGACATATGCACTTTGATTTAGTTAGGATAACTGATCATTATATTTGTTGCTTGTGATTAGTATTCCTAAATTTTCTTGATTTGCAATTATTAGGTTTGTTCTGTACTTCTAGGTTATCAAATAAGGATCGGCCAAATGAGAAATTTCGCTGGGCAAAACCATTTTAGCATATAATTGTTCTAAAATCCAACAACCCAAGTGACACTTCAAACTAATCACCTTTCTTGTAAGTAGTCTATCATTAGTGTAATTCATAATAACAACAATTTTATTTATATATTTGAGGACAAACTTTATCGGCGTATATGCCCTAGGGTATAGTTGTAATTTCTTAAGGAAACACTAGTTTGTTGTGACCTTTGGCTCTAATACCATTCTCTTTCACACCCATGGCCTTTGGCGGAAACGTCAAGCCGTTTTAGGGTATGTTTGATTATCCAAATCACAGAGCATAAAACGAACAACATAATTCTTTTATTAATAACCCACAGTTACATTGATTCTTACATAATACATCTAACTGATTCATGCTTCCTTTCCTTCATTGCAAAGAATCTTATCTTCTATGGATTTCCTAGGAATACACGGGTTTTGAAAACAATCAACATAATATTGGTGAGTTCACAGGTTTTTAAGCTTTAAAAGTATTTCTTTGTTTACGAATATATAGGCTCTCGAATCTTTTCCAACACTATAAGTTTCTAAGGATTATTTCTTTTCTCAGGCTTTAAATCGTAACTTACTATATATTCTTTTAATGTTTGGTTTGCTTCTTCCATTTTCCCGGAAGAGATTTGGTTTATAAACTCGATTAATTTCAAGTAGTTATTAGATAAGATACTTAGGAAAGTATATATATATATATATATATATATATATATATATATATATACACACACACACACACACACACACGCATACACACACTTTATATCTTGTTTTTCCTATGATAGATTTCTTCTTCCATACTTATCCTATAACTTTTCATTTTATACAAATAAGTTTCTTTTTTCTTATCTTTTCATACTTTGATTATCTCTTAAGAATTCTCCTCTAGGTAGTATAATTGATTAATTAAGGTTGACAAGCAATGTTACAATGAGTTCCTATAATGAGCTATATCACATGAGATTTTCCTGCCAAGACGCTTCATTGGACATCGTGAAAAGACTATTAAGTAATGTCTGTCAGGGTTGTAGCTAACAACCACAGGTGAGAGTATCAATCCTTTATTGACCTATATATACCTTTAACACTCATTTAAGATTAACGATTATAAGTCCGGGATAGCCAGATATTAATCAACTATGATTGAATAATATGTCTTATTTAACACTTACTTTGATAAACCCTTTTTAAGTATGATTATTTATCTTTGTTGTTCTTTCTTTAGTTTTTCCTTTAATATACTCTCTCAGTGTAATTATATATATATATATATATATATATATATATATATATATATATATATATATATAGACACACACACACACATTTAACCTTCAATATATAATCATCATATTTGCTTTGATATATTTGATAGGATATCAGGACATCGTACGGTTAAGTACATTGTCTAACCTTAAGTTTTCTTTTAATATAGTTTTATTCCATAATTATTCTGATACGTGTGTGTGTGTGTGTGTGTATATATATATATATATATTATATACGATATCCATCAAATAATTATTAGGTTCTTGATATTTATAGGATATTAGGGCAGAGTAATAACTAAGTACAATGTTTATCCTAAAACTTGGCCAACATAACGACTAGAAACTAGGTTATTCTAAGAAATAGACCAACATAACAACTAGGTCTATTCCTTTAGTATAATCTTAGACATTATAACGACCAGACATAATATCTTTCTTAAAGTTTAGGCATGGTAACGATGCATGCAATTTCAAAACTATGGATATATTACGAGAAATAATCTTTTTGTAAAATCATTGAAATAGCTTTACAGAAAATATTCTCCTCATAAAACATTTGAAAACGGTAAAAGTGGGGCTGTGAAACTCACCTTAACGGGGTGATTTAAACGACTCAGGTTATCGAATCGGGAACTTTCATCCATCTAGGGAGGAGGAGAGGATTCCGGATCAATTCAGAGAGAAAAGGGAAGGAGTTTGAGGTGTGGAGATTTAGAGAAGTGGACATCTCTATTTATAGGGTCGGTTTTGGCATGTCTGTGATGAAAATATATATGTGTGTCATGCATGAGGTTCGTGGTTCCATTCATAACTTGTCACATGTCACTTACCTGGTGATCCACGTCTCTCGTATCTCGACGATTATGGGTGTTAGACATGCACGGCATGCATTATACGTGCACGATCAATATGTTGTAAAAATTCATATCTTTCTTATATGAATATAGTTTTTAACATTCTTTATATATTTGTGTAGCTATTGATGAATACTACAACTTTCCTTTAGGTTGTTTTAGCTAATTCTAACTTCCTTTTTTATTTGTATTTTATGTTGTTCTAAAAATCATATCTTTTTTCCTACGTACTCCATTTTTGGCCTTCCTTGCCTCTAAGTTCTTATTTCAAGGACCACTACAACTTTTCTTTTAATGACTTTAGTCAAAATCAACTGATCTCACTATTTTGATGTTCTAAATTTTATTTACACGTCTGATATTACTTTTACAAAAATCATAAATCCTCCAATCGAAGTCAGATTCTTACGGAGTTTATATCCTTGAAATCGCCTCGCAACATACTTTCTTAATATGTTACCCATTTATACTAGTTGATGCAACTTGTTGTACACTCAATCATGCAATTTGCATATATTTTGGACTATTTTTCTCTTATATACCGAGGTTCTAATCCATGTGTTTAGATACTGGTTAACGCAACTTTTTGTGCACTCAATCATGCGATTTGCGTATATTTTGACTATTTTTCTCTTATATATCGAGGTTCTAAGCCTTGTGCACTCAATCATGCGATTTTCACGTCTGATATTACTTTTACAAAAATCATAACTCCTCCAATCGAAGTCAGATTCTTACGGAGTTTATATCATTAAAATCGCCCCGCAACATACTTTCTTAATATGCTACCCATTTATACTAGTTAACACAACTTTTTGTGCACTCAATCATGCGATTTGCGTATATTTTGGACTATTTTTCTCTTATATACCAAGGTTCTAAGCCTTGTGTTTAGATACTTATCATTTTCCGAATACATGGCTTGTACGCACGGCGTACGTTGCCGGTCCAAAAATGGGTATCATAGCAAGAACGCGCGACGTTCCCCAATCTTACGCACGACGTTCCCGACGGCCACCAAAAAGTCATTCCAGTGACTTAATCCTTAAGCCAAACATCCAAAACCTCGTAATAATTAAATAAGAGT